GAATTTCTCAGCTATATTTGCCTGGAATGAGCATCTTTCAATTAGTACTAATTTAAGAATCCGGTCTCAATATCATTAAGTTTTTTTGGTGAAAATCAGCTATTTTCACCCAAACTGGCGAATTTGGCGATAGGTGGCGAAATTATTAGTTTCTGTAGCAATTGTTCGTAGCAAGTTTCGTGGAACCTCTCCCACCCTGTACTTAATCACCAAAAGTTTGTGAACTTTGGTCAGGTGTCAGAGGGGTGACTTAACTTACGACCTTTATGTAAACACTTGTCTATCTGGTACCCACTTTCTCTGCTGCCCTCAAACAGATTAGATGTAGAAATAAACTCTCCCTTTTTGTTAACGTTAATTTTGGTTGTGTGAATCATTTTATAGTCTCCCAACAGTTTCCCATGTGCTTCGTGCAAAAATGTCTAGAAAACAGTTAATTGAGTTTAAAATTGATTCCGTAATTAAGGAATTAGGTGACAATATATTTCGCCGTACCAAAAAAACAATTCTCTATATTAAGTGCTCTACATACGTCAACTATGAACGTGATACAATTAAGAAACGACTTTCGGAACATCTCAACAGTGCAAAACGCAAGAAACATAACACGCTACAGTCGCAAACATTGTTGTTTGAAAATGGAAATGATTTTGATAAAGAAATGGTTGAAGCATTCACCAGTGCAGATATTCTGCTTGAAAAATTAAATAACGAAAAACTGAGATTGTTTCTCGAGAAATATATGAAGAAGCTGATCAAAAGTGTTCCAGGTACTTTTTTATTGTAATTAGTTTTTTTAATGAAACGTTTATTTTATTGAAATTGATGCTGCTGTTTGCGATTGTGCTCATAATTTAGCTGAAATATGATTTTATTCGAAGTCTCATTGAGTTATTTATTTTTTTAGCACTGTGGGCACATCAAAAATTATCTTCAACTCAGTAACAGAAGAAATTAAGGACAAAATTAATGGACATGATGTCTATTTCATTGTTGACGAAACTAGTGACAAAGTGCAATGTAAAGTGGTCAACATGCTTGTAGGAAAATTGAATGGTGAGAAAGCAAAATCAATGTTAATTGATGTGACATTTCACTCAATAGTTGACAACATTATAATACAAGAATGTATACTCAATGTGTCTAGAAAATTGTGGCCAAATGATTTAAAATATTCAAAACTGAAGTTAATAGTGACAGATCGAGCAAAATACATGATGAAGGCAGTAAGTGAGATTAAGAAAAATTCATTGATTTTTTCAAATGTACATCACGTCACGTGTCTCGCTCACGCCTTACATAACGTTGCATTTAGGATTCAGAATGAGTACAAATTAACAAATTCGCTTATATTAGAAATGAATAAGTTTTTTGTGAAGTCAAGAGAAAGAGAAAATGATTTTAAGAATGCAACTGGAGTTAGTAATCTTCCTCCAGAACCAATTATCACTCGCTGGGGATTTCAGTTAAATGCTGCAANTTATACAATTACATTTACAAATACAATTTAAAAATCACAATGTTTTAGTTATTTCTATTTACAATTAAATGATTTTGTTAATTTTAAAACCAAAAAAAGGAAGAAGTATAAAAATATACATACGGGCTTATTTTTTATTACATTCATTCATGGTCTTACAATTTTTTACTTCATATGACTCATTTGTTACAGTTTAAGTCACGCCCCTTATTACAGTTTAAGTCACGCCCTCTATTACATTATACCATTGTTCATCAATCTGCATACCATTCGATAAATTTACTAGATTATTATTACTATTTTTTATTATTTCAATATGTTCTTTAAATTTGCATTTATATATTTCCTTTTCATAATGTAATATTTTTATGTTATTCCTGTCAATCTTACAATTATTAATATTTATGTGATCGAACCAAGGATTGTTTGTTAACCATTCGGATTGAAGAGACATACTAAATCTAAGTATTTATCAGCTATTATACCAGATTTTGTTATGAATACATGTACGGTTTGTATAAAGAGTCCGCGATGTACTGTAAACATCGCGGACTCTTTATTTGTGAATGTGGTTTGCTCTAAGACGTTATAAAATAACTGTATTTGTTATTTAACCTTACAAAATCGTATTATTAAATTATTTTGTGATAGAAAAAAATAAACTAATTTATGCTAAATTTACCGATAACGAGTGGTGCTGACAACAATGCCAAACAGTAGATATTGGAACTACCATGGAAAATGCCAATATTGAGCTCTTAAAGACTGCTAGATAAGATGACAACACAGTCACAGATGTTTTCATATTTCGTTCTCTACGATTTATGATGATTATATTAACATTTACTTTAAATGTATGTATATTTTAATATGATTTTATGTGCTTTTAACACTTTTCTAGTGATATTACGATTTCAATATTTGTGGCGGACAGACGTAAAGTCAAATAAAATGACTTAAACTTGATTTTTATTTTTCCATATATTTTTTTGACAAACAACTTATAATCGAGAACGACGTAACGTGAGGTATACCTGTATATAACTTTGTTATTCATACATCAAAGGGTTTCTACTAATGCCTCTCTGATACCAGCAGAGCTCCTTCCTTTGCCACTATGTATTGTAGAAAAGGTTCTAAACTACCACATCAGAACTACAAACATCAAGGCTCAACAACAGTACTCATATGCTATCACTTCCAATTACCCTATCTCTGATCATCACCCCATAAACAAGGTTATCCCAGGGTACATTTGGTGTCATCTGCTTCTTGCAAGGATAACCATGCAGACATTAATATCTACACAGATGGGTCCAAAAGACCCCTTTGTGTCAGCTCAAATATCTGTATCTTCCTCCAAACTGACATATTTTGGGCAAAATATACAGATACGTCCCACATACCTCCATCTATCAAACTGAAGATGATGCTGTCTATCAAGCTGTTCAGTGGGCTACTTCACTACCAAACAAAACTCTGTCTATCAACATTTACAGTGATTCTCAGTTTGTCCTAAAAGCTTTATTAAATCCCAATTGCAATAGCAATAAAATCACATATATCCAGCACCATATTAAAAATCTTGTAAATAAGATAACTTTTATATTTGTTCCTGGCCATACTGGCATACTAGAAAATGAAAAAGCCGATTTTGGGGCTAAGTCAGCTGCAAAGGACACTGACTTGGACTACGTAGCATCCCTCTGTCATGTAGCAGCCTTAAAAATTATATTCATGACAACACTATGAAAAAGGTAGAATCAACAATGGTTTAGCAGTAAAAGCTTGTAATATTTTAGTAGGCCTATACAATTTTCTCAAGTGAATGTTGGTAATGAAAGTCATACAACTGTTGTTTGGTTGATAAAAATTCAGAAAATAATTTAGTACAGGTATACCTCACCTTATGTTGGTAATTGGTTTCAGAAGAGGCAACTTAAGTCGAATTTACTTGGCTCTACAAATTCACTTGTCACTAGGCTAAACCACAAATAACCATTCCCAGTTCTGTATTTTATTTATAAATACATTTTGAATAATATATTATTAATAAGAATCTATTTTAAGCTTACAAACAAATAAATTTTAGTTTTTAATATAGTACAGGAAAAAAGTAATCAAAATTTATGAATACATAGATTTAGTATATGTCTCTTCAATCCGAATGGTTAACAAACGGTAGACTTTCAGCTCTGAGGTTAAGTATTCCTTTATTGTAAATTACATATGCATTTCAGGCTTGTATGAGCCCCTCTTCAGCATAAATTCTACACAAAATTTAAAAACAAAAAATCAATTTACAAAATTTTTTTCCAGTGTAAAGATTAACCAACATTAAATTCTTTTTCATACCTCAGATGGTTGAGTAACACTTTTTAAAAATTGTATGACATCAACAATGACATTATTACCAACGAAACACATGAATAACAATCGTATATGAGTATAATTCCCAAACCTGTTCTTTTTATCCATTTTGTCATTAAATTTTCTTCACAAAATCTGGTATAATAGCTGATAAATACTTAGAAAAGAACAGGTTTGGGAATTATACTCATATACGATTGTTATTCATGTGTTTCGTTGGTAATAATGTCATTGTTGATGTCATACAATTTTTAAAAAGTGTTACTCAACCATTTGAGAATTTACACTGAAGAGGGGCTCATACAAGCCTGAAATGCATATGTAATTTACAATAAAGGAATACTTAACCTCAGAGCTGAAAGAAAGTCTACCGTTTGTTAACCATTCGGATTGAAGAGACATATACTAAATCTAAGTATTTATCAGCTATTATACCAGATTTTGTGAAGAA